GCGAAAAAATAAGTTTTAGCAGTTTTCCGAGTGCCTTTGATAGCTTTCTACCTCACGTTGGTCGCCATGCGTCTAATAGAATCACTTTTTATATAAATGCAGGAGATGAAAATTTTTAAGAAAATCCTGTGAACGACATTTATGTAAAAACTCGAATTAAATTGGCTGTCGCTTTAATATGCTCGCTACCAAGCGAGCTTTAAAGAAAATCTCCGTCAGGCCAAACGTGCCCACACACAATGCCAATGTGTAAAGGTATTATGGCATTTGACCGCTCATGGTAGGATGAAATGTATGTTGTCTGACGTCAACATATTTCACTATTAATTTGAGAAAAGCGATTACTTTAGCAAGGCTTCTCAACTGACTAGCTTCTGTTAGGCTTTACAAAGAAATGAATCTGTGAAGCGATGGATATTATTTGGATATCGATGGGTATCCTTTTAAAGCGAATGTAATTTTTGTTTTGTTTCACCTTTAACGTATAAACGAAAATCTTTTTAAGAAGGTTTCGTCTTGTTTGCATATCAAAAAAACAAAAAAAAAAAAAAGAAGAAAAAAAAAACGAAAAGAAAGAAAATGAAAAATCCTAACGAAAACAACAAACTTACAAACACAAATGTTTAAGAGAAAAAACTAAAAACAAAAAAAAAAAAAAAAAACAAGAATAAAGAAAAACAAAACAAAAGAAAACCAAGACACAATTTAAAGAAATGATGCCTATACAAAATATTATTGATATAGAAAACGAAAGATGATGATGTATGAACACAAATTTTTTATATAAAAAATACAAAGAAATGATTATAAATAAATGCAAAAAAATATTATAGCAATTAAATCATTAAAGCATATACACTATATATACATTGCATATAAATATATGTGCGTAACATACACAACAGAATAATAATAATAATAATAACAACAATAAAAGTAATTTTTTCTCTCTCTCTTTATATGTGTGCGTAGTTTACAATTAATATAAAATATATATATATATATGAGAAATATTGATTAGAAGCAAAAAAAAGAAAAAAAACTTTAAACCAAACGAAACTTTAAAACAATCTTAAGCCGCAGAGAGCAAAATAGAAAACTTATTGATTAAAAATAAAAAGAAAATAAAAAAAAAGCAAAAAAATAAAATTTAATCGGCAAAATAATTTTGAAGATCGTTTATTAATAGATGCATTAAAGCAATATTTTTGGAAAAACAAAGAAACAAAAACAAACAAAACGCAACAAAATTAAAAAAAAAAAAAAAGAAGAAATTTGCGAAATGAAATCCTTTGATTTAAGCAATCTTTGGCAAAAAAAAATTTAAATCATTTTTATTACTACAATAACAATTAAAAGGTTCAGTTTTCAGTTCGGTTTTGTATTTCTATTTTCGTTTATTACTCACAAACCAAACTCAAGTCATATTATTAAATGAAAACTCAATTCGTTATGAAAATTGAAGAAAAACCAAAAAAAAAAAAAAAAAATTAAATAAATGAATAAAAGAAAAATGGAAGCAAAAATAAAATATCTAAATAAATAAATTATTATTAATAAAATATACATTAGAGATTTAATATAAAAATTCTTAATTTAAAACGAAGACAAGAAAGGATCGAAGAAATGAAACAATGTCAACCAACAACAATCTATTGTCGAGCAGAACGACAATGAACATATTATATATGAAAACTCATTCACAACACTACGAAATACCAAAAGGAAAGCAAAAATGGAAAAAAAAAATTATAAAAAATATATATTAAAATATAAAATAAATATATGAATGTATGTGTGTTTCATTTACTATTCAAGAACATAACAAATAACAAATAATCCCCAAAATAAATTTCTCTCTGTGCAATTTGAACAAAACAAAGCAATCATGACGACGCTGTTTTATTATTACTTATTATTTAATCACCTTTCATAAGGTTTGAATCTATTCTCTCTGTAACTTTTAAAGGCCGTCTGAAACTTATATGCAATGCCCTGTGCAATTTGTATATTATATTACCTACAACATTTGAAGTTCAAATACGTTGCAACAAGTGGTAATTCTGCTTCGCTCATTTATTTCTCCTTTAATTTGCCAGAATTCAGAGTTCGCTCATTTACTGCTCCTTTAAATTGCCCGAATTCGAAGTTCGCTTATTCACTTCTCCTTTAATTTGCCCGAATTCGAAATTCGCTGATTTACCTTCCTCTTTTGCGACTTGTATATCATGCTATGTGCAACTTGTATATTACGTTCGCTAGCAACATTTGCGTTGCAAAATTATTAAGCACTAAGTTTAAGGCATCCGAAGAAAGTAAACAACCATAAAGACCGTAAGAAAGAGTAAACGAGCATTTACTGAAATTTCTACGACGATTATGCGTAAGCCTCCACTAACTTATATATATAACGTTTTCGCATCTTATATGTTATAATATATAAATATAATATTTTTGTAAATGCTCTCTACAACTTGTTTACACAAATTGCCTCTGCAACTTTTATCTAAAGAAAAATTTACTCAGTACACAAAATTAAACTACAGAGCTTTTTTTCGAAAGTAAAAATGATTAAAATTAGTAGTTAGCGCAGTTGGAATATTTCTGTAGTGAAGAGGATAGGTTTTGTTAGACACATAAAAGCAGAAACAAACAGTTTACTAAGCGCGCAGGTCTATGCAAAAGTAATTACGGGGCAAGGAAGGTAATTAAATGTTTTTTAAGTAACTTTCGTCCACGTAGGACGATGATGAACACGAAAATTGACATTCGTTCTCGTTTGCTTTATGTATGACTTTCGCCATCGCTTTTGCTACTGTCATTCATTCTGAGCGCGTAACCAAAAATAAAAACACGCTTGCTTGAATTTTAAATATAATTGTTTTCCGCACAACAATGTTCAATATTTTTTAAGTAGGCGCTGCGGCTGAGAATTAATATTGCCTAAAATTAATAAAAGTGGGAAAGTTCAGAAAAGTTTAATAAATATGAAATACCATCTTATTGAAGCTTTATAAAATGATCAGACTTCATAAACGTGACATGCATGTTCAAGGCGAAGCACTGCGATAAAAGAAATAGATCGGTCTAGTACGCTTTTCACTTTTTATTTTTTTATCAATTTGGCATGTATAAGTATATACAAGCTACAAACAAGCTGCTTCAATTTTCTTTAATTGCCAATGGCTGTGATCTTAGGTCAGCTTCGAATAAAAAGTAGATGGATAGCTGCGTTCCATTCCGACATGGCCCAAAACTATAGTCAAAGCTCTTCCTAGGGATGCCAAAGTCTGAGTACATTGTTGACCAAACAAACCGTCAGGTTAGGGAAAAGTTAATAAAAACTTATCGCTTGCTTTTCGTTTGTTTACATACGTCTATCTTATTCATGCTTTCGTTTTGTGTTGAGCAGACCGCAAACAAGAACAAACAAAAAAGGAAAAAAATTGATTAATGACTTTAGTGGCTTCGTTTGAAGCTATAAAGTCGTTACTAACCAGTGACGTCAACTGTGCGAAGAACGGCAAGTCGGGCAAAATTAAGATGGTGGCGAAAGCTATTCGAGAAACGATAACCATTGTGAATAAATAAGTGAATAATAATAATAATAATAATTCAATAAAAGGTAAAAATATTGTATATCACATACACGATAGTTTTAACAAGAATTGTTCACCTTACTGGCAATTCTCAGATTTTAAGCTTTTGAATTTAAAAAAAAGCTTTTCATTGTTTATCGTTTCGTCGTGACTGATGCTGCAGTTTCAAAAGCATTGCTTATCCACGTAACGTATCCACGAGTTTAAACCAAATTGCTGCGTGCACGTGAATTTAGTCGTGATTCTAACGTCACCGTAGCGGGATTTGTTACAGTTAGAGAACGTCAAACGAAATATTCAATCTTAGATGCAAGTAATCCATGTATATATAGCCGCATTAGTGAAGAAGAAACCACATTCTTTCCGTGTTTTAGGTTTGAATGCGTTTCTATTTGTTCTAAACATTCCTCCGTTCACGAAAATGAAAATATCGCTTTCAAAGTTGCAAAAGAATTTAGAAATAACCCAAACTTTTTAAGAGATAGGCCTAAAACACCTAAAACTATTATTTTAAAATAGGAAAAAACCAGTCTCGTCGCCTCTTTATTATATAACATGAAAATTTAGTTCTTTCAATTTTGTTGTCTTTTTAGGATGACGGTGACGGGTATAAAAATATCGGTTACGACCGAATTTAATTTTTTTACTTGTTTGTTCTGTTTTTCTGCTTGGCGACCTTTTTCGTAGACTTCTTTTTAATCAGTCTAAGCCAATAACTATTTACTGTTAGTTAACTTCAAACTTACTTAGGTTCTATGGTATTTTTAAATTTTATGCATAGAACTGCTTGAGAAATACACTGCGACTTTCTATCCCCAGCCTGTTGCAGCCAATAGACAATAAACGATCGATACTATGCTATCGATACTATAGCGCTTGTGTTGCATTACCCCTTAACAAAATCAAATCGTTGAACATTTGAGCCGGTTCTTCAAGGCATCCATGAGGGTTTAATTTCGTGTAAATCCCTTCCCTCCATAGGGAGGCCTAATCAATTATTTTAAGCCAAGAATTAATATAAAAAACTATGAGGCGCGGAACACATAATATGAACGATTGTTAGACGAAAGCAAAGCCCTAATATCGCAGTTTTAAAAATTTGATTTTGTAAATCCTTTAAAATCTTATTTAAACTATGAAGACACATCTTTGATTTCACTGGAAAGATGAAAATAATTCATATATACTATCTATATATACTATCTATGCATAGGTTAGTAGTTACATATTATTTTACATATACATATCATAAATATATGTATATAGAATAGTAGTTGAATGTTTTGTCACAGCTTCTGATATTACGCCTTGGCATTGTGGACATAAATTTATTTGATCTAAAAGATATACATAAAAACATTAAATATATAAAATTACAAGGGTTTCAATCTGATACGTTAATTAACATATTGGCTTTGGCCGCAAACATTTGCAATAGGTAAGACCGACAGTCAGGTACTCTTCGAAATCTTCAGAAGGTTCGATCAATGATTTGTATTTGGCGACAGCGTCAAGGTTAGAAGGTTCAATCAAATGGGACGAATACCTTTGACGCAGAATCGATGCGTGCAAGTATTTAAATAAATCGCTAACCAACTCGATGAAAAAGGATAAGGGCTTGTGAAAGGCATCGCCCATTATAAAAGGACTTTCTACGGACATATCCAATTGGGAGCATAGCTGTTCAAAAATGATGCAAGACTTTCTCAACTCTTTAACTGAGGCATATATGCGGCAACTGTATAGTGAAAATAACACTTAAAAAGGCTGTCGGTTAAATCTTCTCCCTATTAACTTACTTCGAGTTTCTTATGCTCTTTATCTTCTCCGTCATATCCAAGAGTACATTGTCTTCCGCTGGTGCAGGATAAATTTCGGGATATTTACAGCATGGCCCAGTACTTTAAAAAGCAAGAGTTCCTTATCGACTAAGACAAACAACAAACCGTGGGTATAATTACCTTTTCAGTAGAATGTATCTCTGTGTTAGCACCCATAACCTATTAGCCCATTCCATTTGCTGGGTCAATTCCTTTTTAGCGAAATTGTAGTGATCACGAAACTCGTTTTCCAACTCCAATAACTGATTAAGAGTTTTCTCCTCCAGTTCATAATGACGAAGGGACCGATCACTTGAGCTATTTATTGAAGACATTTATTTATTCTAATTACAGTTCTATTGGGGAAATATTTCCTTGTAGCGCAGATGACACGTTTACAAATTAATTAATTTTCCATTTCTGAAATTTTCAGAAAATTATATTTCAAAAAACACCACAACCTGCTCGGTTTAAAAAAATCTGCAAAATGTATTCGAAAAATGAAAGAAAAGCTGAGCATAAAATCCAAGTGATTATAGAAAATTATGTCACTTGATATGATTTAAAATCAAGTAAGAAAATTATATTCAGCTGAAATGGAATCTTTTACATCTACCATCATCGTCCTAGAAAAGACCAAAAAAAAAAAAAAAACGGAACAAATTAAACTTCTCTACTCTTTAAGACTGTGCAGTCTTGGCTGATGGTCCATTTTCATGCAGGCATTTTAAAGCCGCACCTACAGAATATACATGCAATTTATTTGCGGTGGTTTTTGAGTAAGTAGCAAAAAATCATATTTGGGGTTTGCAGTTCACGTGGTACTGTGACGTGCCCTTCGATCCATTTCGTCCATTTTCAATATCAATCTGTGAAAAAGAAGAACTTCCAATGCGCAAATTTGAAGCTTATATATACATTCTTTGCGGTCACGAGGCCCTTAAGTCAAATCAGAACTTGGTTCTACTCATATCACTCACTTTTATCAGGTCTCTGAAGCTGTCTTCTAGATATTGCAAACGTCCAAATGACAAAATGAACATACGAAAGCAGACTTAACCTAATACGCGCTCATAGTTCCATGTGAAGGGTGGAGGTTTCGAAAAGCGTGCCGCAGGACTTCTATTAAACAAGGAATTTGAATATTTTTCACAACCTTTGGATAGTCCACCCAAATCTTTCGTCAAAGTCGCGGATAAAATTCAATTAACTGGCAATCTATTGGACAAGTTAAATGAAATGATTATCGGCGGAGGCATGGCTTTTACCCTCCCAAAAGTATTAAAAAATTTGAAAATCGGTTCTTCGTTATTTGATGAGGAAATTTCAAAGATTGTTTTGACTTGTATTATAGTTATTTTAGCTTATGGTTGGAAAAAGAAATGAATATGAATGAATAATATCGTACATCTTTTAGTGGTGGGTATAAAACTAATCACAAGCAGAAAAAAGCGATGACCACCACGCATATATATAAGTATACATTGAACCTCAAGCGTACACCAGAAATACTTTGAAAATTTGTTCGAAAGTTTAAGAAGAGAGAAAGCGAAAGGATTCATAATATTTAAAGCTGTTTTATCGAAAGCTTTTGTGATGAAAAAATTGAACTTTCATATACTCATTTAGCTTTTGAAGAAAGTTAACGACAAAAGTCTGTTCATAATTTCAAAGCTTTCGTGATGAAAAAATTGAAATTTTATTTACTCATTTAGCTTTTGATAAAAGTTTACGGCAAAGGCTTCGTAATAATTTTAAATATGGGGAAATATTGCACAAATACAGAGTTGCTTTGAAACGGTTACTCCGAAATTTCAATTGCTTTCAATTTTTCTATGCAAGGTTTGGAAAAAACATTCAAAGCTTTGTCTATTCAAAGCTTTTCGCTTTATATATATATCCTGTTTATTTTTTTTTGGTTAGAGCAGTTTGATGGGAAGCTTTTTCGAGTAGCTTTTCGGGGCTGCGATTTACTAAGTTATCTTCTTGTGATGGTGCTTTTAAATGAATAAAATGAAATCAAATGTTTAACTATTGTCCTTGGTTTTAAAATAAATTATATTACCACACAGTTTTGTTTTACTCTTTACTGGGTTGATTGTTCAGCTACTACTTTTCAAATTTAGCAAATCAACCACATATGGTCAACTGTAAGAACAAAATCACGGCCAGGCTTACAAAGACTTAAATGAATCTTCTATGGAAGGTAAATTTTTGTCATTTAACCGTAATCTCTTTCGAATGTAAACAAGACCATGCGAACATGAACTTCTTTGTATGAACCTTAATAAAATAGGCGGTTAGTGTTGGTTGTAGATATACATATATATTTTGTATTCTTTTGTCTGCCATGTAGCTATGATCATTTTATGAGAATCGTTTCTTTATGTTTTTTAAATATTTTTATACGCATCACCCAAGGATGAGGGGTACACAGAGAGCCCACAAAGTGTATATATTCTTAAACAGCATCAAATTCTAAATCGATTTAAGAATGTCCGTCTATCTGTCTGTCCATCAGACCGTCTGTCTGACTTAATCGTTTTCGATCTTGGACAAAACGCTTATAAAGCGAGTAATGCTCGAGCACTTTTGTGTGGGGAGATCTTCAATCACTTTTCTATCTGCACTAGCTTTCAAGATGCCAATGACCTATCCAACCAGGTACCTATCTCTATCAGAAAGGGATCATATTCATCCGCTATATCCGTCGACTTGCCGCAGTCGTAAATAAGGAAGGCAGGTAGCCAAAATTTGCCACAAACAATTCGTGGTCGCTTAAGAATCTAATGTTAAAAGAAATGATTGCGGCAGGTTTAGTAAAAGGTACGACTGCTTACAGTATAAGTTCTTCTACGTGTTGCATACAGCCGCATAAACTTGATATAGTCTATAGCACAAGTACTGTAAGCTATAAAAATGAAATCATGTCTGACGTTGGCAACATTCTCTTTGTTGCAAGAGGAAGAGAAGAAATAAATGTTTCCAAAAATATTGTATATATAATGCTTTTGATGCTTCCAGAATAATTGTCAGTGAAAAGCTGAAACATCTCGTTAGAAAAAGGGCGCCGATTGTTACCCTTCACGGAAAGGATGGCATTGTATGAGTAACGAGGTACAATTTATTATAAAGGATTACCCGCACCATAGATCGAACTTGGGCCACTTAACTGATTAACAACCAACGTAACGTAACGTATTCGTCAATCGCGCGAAATTGAACAGTTTGTCTTTAAATAGAAAATTTTGTTTAAATTTAGCACAAAAAAAATTTTAAAATGTGAAAGTAAGCGAATTATAACGAAATGTGCATAGTGATGGCGTAGTTGGCTGGCGGTTGGCCGGTGGTAGGTTCCCATTCAAAAAAATTGCATTTTTTTCTCTTGTTTTACTATCATTATTATATATTTAATAAACAATCTCTCCACAAAGGTCATAAGCTAGTGTTACGATAAAATGAGGAAAATAATGAAATTGAAATGAATGTTGTCGTCCCCTCCAATGGTAACAATGAAACAGTGCGGCTATGATTTTTGAATAAATAAAAGGGAACTTTATAAAATCAGAAAATTCATTAAAATAACTTAAGGAACATAAATAAAATAATCTTTAAATCGAAGAATTAGTATATAATGCGTTTTCAAGTTTATTTTCCCATTGGGTGCATTGGGACAGAAGAGCAGTCTCGAAATAAGTTGATAGGCCTTTTACGAAATAATATCATCTTGAGCGTTTTATCGAACGTCCCAGGAAAATATAAATTTTCTTGTGAGAACTCTGGGATGACAGGGAAGCTTGCAATAAACTTGCAAAGTATGGATTGAAAGGCTGTCGGGTAGCTTCGATCATATAGTCGCCTGTATTGAAAACTCTAACGCACCATACAGTTGTCAGTCCTGTGCTTTCGCCTACTCCACTGCTCATGCGATTCATATTTGCCTTTCAATATCTATGAAAGGGTGGATGGTTGTGCGTTAAATCGATCATTCCTTGTAGAACTTCCTGGGAAACTGAAGCAATGAAAGCGACTAACAACGCAATTCAAATAATATTTTCTGTTGGCTGCGGTGAAGCGTTTGTTGTTCATTCACTTCATTCTTTGAAGAGGAAGAGCTTATGGAACATAATACTTGAAAAAAAAATGTGAAAATATTACGGGCAATAATTTATAATTCATAGCAAATATGAATACATTATTGTCATTAGCAACAGCTTAAGATAAAGAACGAGATTGATGGCTTTCATATAGGCGCTGGGTGGAGGTGCTGGGTATTGAAAATTTGCCTCAAGACATGTGAAATCTCTTTAAGTATCTTGGAATGTTGCGTTTACTTCACCTTATGTGTAACCATATCATATGAGATCTTTTCTTGCTTATGAAGCTTTAATGCATAGAAGAAAAGAAGATTCTATGGTTATAGATATTAATAGCTTTTCGAAGAACGGTCGCCTTTGTTGAGATTATTATGTTTGTACATCTTTTATTAAAATGTAAATTTCATTGTCACACTTTTCAACCAGACACCGTAAGAGACGTGTGCGTGGCACGTGCTCTTGTAGATTTATCGATGGTAATAATGTTATGTTTGATTTGCGTGACGTTATGAGGACAATAGCTTTGCAAAAAAAAATTGACCTTGACTGGCTTAGGTGTTTCTTAATTAAAATTTTAAGAAAGATGTTAAAGAGCTAAGAGCAAAGCTAAGGTATTTTTGAAATATGTTAAGTTGACAATGGTGTTGATGTTGATTTTAATAAATAATTATTACACGGTCTGTTACTCTATTAGTTGTTATTAAGTAGGTAACACGGATTTAATGAAACTTACACTTAATTTTGTAATATATTCACCATTTACGTTACGGTGCAGTCGACTGTCACGTCCTTTCCTTAATTAACATTACCGTTATAGTAGAGAAATAAAAAAAAAAAAAAAACAAATTTATGCAAAATTTTAAAGAGCACAACATATACGTGTAAGTAATCCCTTATAATAAAGCATATCTGGATGCTTACGCTGGATGTACGCTGTATGGTGTCAAAATCCTCGCTACACTAAATTGACATATCGTATGACGTTTTGTGCTTGTATTTGAACATCCACCGAAATGTTCCAAAATATTGCAAAACTCGCACACACGGACACACACACGCATCCAAATATGAAATTAAAAAGGCGAGTGAATCTATTTTTAGTCCGAAGACCGCAAACACCACATGTTGTGACTGTACATGACAAACAAGTGTTTTTATATATATATATAAATATATATATATATATATTTACTCAATCGCAAAATTATAAGCTCCACTGTACAATATAATGCGTCAAG